GTCTGTATTACCATGACCCATTGTTGTTGAAACTGTAACGACAGTGCATTGTTATCAAGCCCCCAAACCATCCTCCCTTGAACTCTTGAAAAGCAGCTAAGGCCAAAGTGTGCACTTTTGTATGTTTTGAGGTTAAAGTGCTCATGACACCAAAAAATGACCTTTAGTTAGCTGATTGTAGTTGACATAACTAGACTAGTATTACCTGCAGTGGCTAACAGACACGTTTACAATAAATATGCACGGTTCTCCTATTACATTTGACATTCTAACGCCCTACCTTGGAAAAGTCAGTCCTGGCAGGCGATTTGCATCTCTACATTTTATTTTTGCATGTCTGTATTTTTTCCTGAGTTGACGTCATCCAGTGATGTCAGCTTAGGAAAAGGCACAGAAATGTAAAAATAAAACACAGAGATGCAAATAGAGATGCCCGAAGTGGGCAATTGGGAAGCTTGGTAGAGAGTGTCCAAAAACCCACTTTAGAAGGGCGTACAAACTCAGTTTCTCAGTCATCATGATTGGAAAAAACTTCAAGTGACTATATTGTATGTACACTTCCGATATTTGTATGTATTTCACAGACTTTTTTTGGTGTCATGAGCACATTAAACACGGGTTGAAAAAAAATTGTAATGCTACCATGCAATAGTCCCGGACCTTCCAGACAATGGTCAGACAAGGTCAAGGTGAAAGTGTAACTGTTATTTAGCCCATGATCCGGATGAACACTGTACTCCATATTTACCTCTTTTTTTTTTTTACTGAAAGCTTAAACTTAGGCCACACCAATTTACTGTCTTGGTTAACGGATTTTTCTAGAAAAATAATGGAGCGGGCGGGCGAAAAAAAAATAAAATAAAAACAGGCATCCTATTATGGCCCAAAATGGTACGATAGGAGCCATGAAATCAACACACCAGGCTGGTTCAAAATTTAAACAATGAATTTTTAATTTTTAATGATACCACTGCATTGAAAGATGGAATAACTGTAACAACTAGGATGAAAAGAAGTTTTGAACTGTTCAGGGCAAAATATGAGCATTTTGCAGTTGATTCTGAATTTTTATTTTTATTTGCAAATCAGAAAAAAATGAAGGGGGCGAATCTGTTAACCAAGAAATTAAATTGGTGTGGCCCTAGCAAAAAAATGTTGTGTTTCCTGTTTCAGCCTGTAAAAATTAGGGTCGGTACATGTAGGTAGGGATTATCTTTTTTTCTTTCTTTCTTCATGATACATTTTGTGATTCATCATACCTTGCACGAGGACGCTTTTAGTTTCAATGTCAATGTTAGAAAAAAATGTACAACGTTTTATCACTCAGGTGTCAGATCATGATGTTAGAAAAAGTGGATCAGTTTGAAAAATTTATGTCCCTTGCAGGGGTCCACACCAAAAAAAAAAGGCTAGGGTTGGCAGGGTTTTTTTAAGCGTTGGTTGGAAAACAGGAAACACAACATTTTTTTGCTAGGGCCACACCAATTTAATTTCTTGGTTAACAGATTCGCCCGCTTCATTTTTTTTCTGATTTGCAAATAAAAATAAAAATTCAGAATCAACTGCAAAATGCTCATATTTTGCCCTGCACAGTTGAAAACAGCCCTTTTCATCCTAGTTGTTACAGTTATTCCATCTTTCAATGCAATGGTACATGTATCATTAAAAGTTCAAAATTCATTGTTTAAATTTTGAACCAGCCTGGTGTGTTAACTTCATGGCTCCTATTGTACCATTTTGGGCCATGATAGGATGTCTAGGCCTGTTTTTTTTTTTTGCCCGCCCGCTCCATTATTTTTCTAGAAAAATCCGTTAACCAAGAAATTAAATTGGTGTGGCCTAGGCCTTACTTCTTCACTTATTCGTTAGGACTAATTGCAGAGAGACAGGGAAACATTCATGTGCTGGAGATATACCACGCACTTCCTGCCATTTCCTGTCTGAAGACAGGACATATTCCCACTCCCAGATAAGACCTCCAAGATCAGGAACCAGGCATAGATAACACCTTATTGGACATTTTTAACTCTGACATGACAAAAAGACCACTTAGTATAGATCATATCTAGACGTTTGCTATCAGCCGGACTGTTGGCGTGCACGGTGATAGCAAGGCTTTATCAAAGTGAACTCACGTCACTCGCGGAAACCAGGAAAGCAATCTTTCTGAACCCTGTTAGTAATCTGACACATTCATTGTGTCTGAGATACATAACATACATGTTTAACAAGTTGGGAAATGGAGTCATTGAACTAGGGCTGCGTACCTTTTCGTAACATCAGGTCCAGGTCCAGGTACAGGTACAGAGGTTTAGGTTGAGGTCCGGACCTGTACCTGTACCTGAAAATTCATGTGCGTCACATGTTCTACTGAAATTCTTCAACAATGACAGAAACATGAATTGAGTGTTGACAATTTGTCCGGTATCTTTCAAAGAACATGAAATATAACCATGGATGATGTAACTAGGTTTCCTATCTCACTTTCTAGATGTCTATCGGTAACGAAAATCTGGAAAAATATTGTTGCCAAATGAGAGAGACGGAAACTAAAGGCCCTGTCACACTGGCGGAACTTTGCTGGAGCGTTGCTTGAACGGTGAATAAAATTCATCACCGCTCGAAACCGCTCACCACCGCTAAACAGAAGTTGGCCCCCGTTAAAGCAACGCCGTGTACGCCCGGCCACCGCTGACGTTTCTGGAGAGGCCCTCCTACCGCTCCGAAAGTTTTGAGCTGCACAAAATATTGCGAGCGGTGAGGAGGGGGAAATTTTCCACCCCGGCAAAGTTCACCGGCCCGCTCCACCAACGCCCAGTCAAAGTTTGGCATCGCTAGACGCAAGTTCGTGGACGCTTGGGTCCGCTAGGCCAACGCAGAAATCTCGAACGCTTGACAACCGCTGCTTCGCCCGCGTTGCCCGGGCGGAGATTAAACGTTGCACAAACGTTGCACAAACTTCGCTGGAGCGGTTGCAAGCGTTTTACGGGGGTTGCTGGAACGGTGTCAGGCGTTGAAGCAGCGATCCATGTCGGCAATGAACTTTGGTTTGGCGTTGGTATAGAGGTGTCAGAGCGGGACCAGAATTTGGCTATAAGTACGGTGAGGAATGGACCAGGTGCTCATTTGGAATTGAGCTGCCGTTGAGTTCAGGCCTCATCTATATCGAATTTGCTCGAAGTTACAGTAAAACTGTATCACCCTGGATGCTGAGAGACTTGCTATGATTGGTGCACTAGTGTGCAATTATTTTGGGGCCACACGTAAAATGTTCAAAGAAGGGGTCACAGGGGAACTTTGCAATCTGCAAAGTTTTATTTTCATTATAAATTAAATAACGTAGTGAAGAATAGATTAACCAAATGATGTTTATTAAAGCTTTAAGTCCCCACACACACAGAACTTAAACTACTACAAAACGATCCGTTCAACTCCGTAGTCACAAGCGGTATGCCGCTAAACCGCATGCGCAGAACGCCGCTATACCAACGCTTGCGTCACCGCTATACCAACGTTCGCTACCGCTAAACCAACGCTAAAGCAACGTCGGCTTCAGCGGTGCACCGCTAAGTCAACGCCCGTGTTTTTCTTTTTTCCCCCACATTTTGGGCGCGGTGACGAGCGTTGTGGAAATTCGGACCCCGTCCCTACCGTTAAAGGAACGCTCCAGCAAAGTTCGGCCAGTGTGACCGGGCCTTAAGGTAAATCTGTAACGCTGGATGTTCATTTTCCTGGCAGGCCTCCTTGTGTGTAGTGATCAAGTTTGAATTTCGGTCCAAAAAACCGGTCCACCAACGTTACGTTTTTTTCAGACCGGACCGATACTATTTTTCCGGTCTGTACCGGTCCACCTGGACTACATTGAACTTATGGTAGATTCAAAAAAGGAGGAATTTGTAGTAATAAGAAAAATCTCTTCTTCAGCATTCACTTAATAATGACCTGAACATTAAGTTCATGGACAATCAAAATCAAGGCCACACCAATTTTATTTGTTGGTTTTCGGATTTGCCCGCGTCATTTTTTTCTGATTTGCAAAAAAAAAAAAACATTTCAGCCTCTTAATCAACTCCAAAATGCTCATATTTTGATCCCAACAATTGGAGGTCCCTTCTCTTCCGAGTTGTTACAGTTTTTCCATCTATCAATGCAGTGGTTTGATTAAAGGTTTAAAACTTCTGATGATGTTTGAACTACAGACTAGCCTGTATGTTGACATCATGGCCGACGTATCATGCCATTTGAGGCAATCATACATGTAGCATGCCTTGGTCTGTTTTTATTACGTATACCTCCATGAAAAATGGAGGTATTGTTTTTGGTTTTTTAATGTGAAAATCCTGTGACTCCTTATTGGTGAATGATGGGAATTTTACACCTCGTGACATGTGTAATTAACTTAAAGGTTAGCACCATATATGCATACATTATGTTAATGTAGAAGTTATTTGCATAATCAATGACGGCATGTCGAAATAAAGTATGATAAAGCAAGCCCATATTTTATGGAGGTATGAGATCTCGGAACTCTTGTTTTTATTTTTTTTCGCCTTGTCGCTTCATATTTTTTCTGAAAAAATCCGAGGACAAACAAATCAAAGTGGTGTGGTCGTATCCACAGTTGACAAATTGAAGGATACAGTGTTTCCAGTGAGTTAGAGCCTTCCTGAGCTGTACTCTGTGGGATAACTGCTCCATAGCCACTCTCTGTTCACGGATGATGTGTAGAACTCTCCATCTAGACTGCCAGTGGTGAAACACTCCAGCCAACAGCAGTCTACGGTTAACACTTTCTGCATATGCTGCAAAAAGACATAAAATTTTTGACACACTGAGTGAAGAGACTCTTTTTACTGTTGCTCCCCGTCTTCCGAGGGTTAGACGTGCTTGCACAATACATCTGGGGCTTGATGGCAGCACGCCACTTGTCTCTGTCCTGTGTGTTGATTTTATCTAATTTCAGGTGGTGGAGGTCCTCCCGTATGTTGTCATTATCTTTCCTAGGGCGGCCACGGGGGTTTGGACCCTCCACATCCAGTGTGAGGATCCTCTTCGGCCATTTGTCCCTGCCCATTCTCTGGAGGTGGCCGTACCATCTAAGTCTATTATAATATCTAACTGTGACCATGTGTACTGTGACCAATACAACCATTGGCAGGTCTTTTATTCAGCCAATGTTTCGGTGACCTTCTGTCACCTTCCTCAGGGTAATTCTGACTGGTTCATATGAGGAAGGTGACAGACGGTCACCGAAACGTTGGCTGAATAAAAGAATTTTTGGTTGTGTAAATAAATTGCTGCAAAAAGACATTTTACACTCGAAGAGACTCTTTTTACACGTCTTTTATTCAGCCGATATTTCGGTGACCGTTTGTCACCTTCCTCGGGGAAATTCTGACTGGTTCACAATTGAGGAAGGTGACAGACGGTCACCGAAACGTCGGTTGAATAAAACTGTTTAAAAGACTTGGTTGTGTAAAAAGACTCAGTGTCTAACTAACCTGATGAAACTATTCTCGGATGTAAGACATTCTACAGTAGACAATCTTTGAGAAAATAATTCTATATGACTTGCACTTGAAGTGCACATTTGTACAGATCTCAAATAACTTCCTATCTAGACGCATGCAAATACAATTTAATGTTGCTATTAAAAGACAAACATTTCTTGTTTAAAACGAGTGCAAATGCCGTGCCATTCTCGTTTTTCGTTTTTATTTTTCATTGTACATGTAAATGTTTGAGCAATCTTGTGTGGTTATGTATACTGATGGATAGCCACATGTGATTGCAGCTACAAAATGTACATGTAATAAGTACACAGCACACACATTTTACACACGTTGTCAGTTGAGTTTTAACCAGTGTTCTTCTGCACGGCTTACAATCACGATTCAAATTTTGCATGTCTTTGAGAAACTAAAAAGTTAGAACACAATCCTTCCCATGTATTTATTTATTCATTTATGAAGATTTACCACATTTATAAAGATTTACCACATTTGTGGATTGACATAATAGGTGACTATCACCTCTTCAAAGATGTCAAACCAAAAAAGGGATGGTTGTAATGCCCTGATGTAGATGGCCTCTTTAATCCCTTATGCAAAGACTACTTCGAAGGTCTCACAACATATACACATAGAATCACCTGGACAATAATTCAGTCTCAATGGACAAAGTAAGAATCCTGGACTCAGAACCGGATTTCTTTGCACGAGGGATTAAAGAGGCCATCTACATCAGGGCATTACACCCATCCCTCAACAGAGACGGGTGGCGCCACACACTTCCTGCGACCTATGATCCACTGCTCACGGAGTCACGTGTGTTATCTGCGTGACGTCACGGAAGCAGTGGATTGCTCATACCTTGACAAAGACTGGAGTTGTACAGTCGAAAATTTGGTTGAGTCCAATTTGTTGTGTTGGAATTATTGCAGTTTAAACTTGCTTCATAATGATTTCTACCAAGTTGAACACAGATGAACTTTCAAGATAAAACTCACCTCTTCTCTGTCTTTTGTCCCTTCTGACTGTAAGGTACATCTGCCAGGCAGTGAGACACCGCCTGGTGATGATCTGATGTTGTAGACGTTTTGCTGTTTCCATTTTCTGCTTCTCCTGCTTTCTCTGTTGCAGTGCCTTGACCCATCTCTGCCAGGTCTGTCAACAACACAGGGACAAATCAGTCTTATGTTTTCATTTTTTGTGTGTAAGGCCACACTGACTTAGTTTTATGGATAACATCCACGCGCACATTGATTTTCGCCTGTTCTCAACACAAAAAAAGATCACGTCCTCAGAGGCTCTGGCCTGGATCTAGGCCTGGGTAGTCCATGCTAGTTAGTGACAATACGGAGCCGGTCACCATGTCTACTTCACGACTCAAGAACTCAGTACATACGTACAGAGTTCATAAATTCCCAAAAAAGCCAGCATGTGCCGGCTTGTTGTATACATCGCCAAGTACTGCCGCAAGTTCACAATACCAGCTTTGTATTCCTGTGGTCATGGAGTTACAATATAATAACTCCATGCTGTGGTTAAGTAGCATCTTTACTTTTGGCCGACATTTTTTTTTATTCACCACACTATTTGGGGGTCTTCAGAGGATGTCATCCATAAAATTGAGGTGTGGCCTTATAAACATGTTCAAGTATGGTTCAAGAGTATTCACTCAATACCTTAGTCATACAATCGGAACTTTCCCCCGTATACCAGAGAGCCAAAGTTGCTTGAAGTTTGGGAGCAGTCTGACGACTACATGTAGGTTTATGTCACGCCTACATTGTACAAAATGTAATACAAATCAAATCAAATTTGAGTTAAATTGAGTCAAATTTCACTGCCAATCATGCCCAGGCCACAACAGACCTAGTTAAACACCAGCCAACCATGGCTGAATGTCCTGTCCACACACAAATGTTTTGAACAATTTGAAACATTCGGTCATTAAGTTTACATGTAACACAATTATCATGATTTACACTCATGTAACATCTCACAGAACAGCATACTACACATGAAGTATACATATGGGAAAAATCCAATTTTTTTAGTCTGACACATATATGTACGATATAATTTGGCAAGTTATACTACTGGTAGTCTAATATCTTCATTACAATAATTATTGTATCAATGAACTCAAGATACTTCAATATTTGAATCAGTAATTCTTGAACATCCATAAATTTCTCTCCCTTTTGAATAAGCAACAAGAAGGGAAAGGAATCAAAATACAATATTTTTCACATTTTTAGAAGCAAAAGAGCAACAATACTATCAGACAAAATCCATAAAAACTTAAATCATAAATTCAGATGAAAAAGTATGATCCATGATGATAGTACATTTAGTGTGAGGACATAAGCCCAGTGTTGCAGGGCCACGAGTCTCTGTTCTTCCTCTTCCCTAGCCTGTATCAGTCTGGCCTGCCAAGTTCTCCACATTCGTCTGTAAAACAAACAAAAAAAACAGTCACAGAACTGTTTGGAATAAACGGAATGTCCCTGCTCCTTTGAAAACAAAAATCAGTGATTTCAAGCTTCCAAGAAAAATAAATTTTTCATAAAATTCAAGTTTATAGGCCTTGCATAGTGTTTTGGGTTTTCAATGTATTGGAATTGTGGTGGGCAGCTGTTGTGATGTAATTTAATCGGGTACTACAGCACTTCCCGGATTCCTCCATATACTGCCCACTTACCGGTACTACCCCCCATCTTGTGCTCCTATCCATCATCTGTCAAAATCACTTCCCGCCCACCATGCAACCAGAGTTATTACTAGGACAAGCAGAGACACAAACCCAGAACTCAGCCACCCAAAATTATACTTCCTTACCTAGACTTGGAAAACAACAGAAGCAAATACTGGACAGACAATACTCATTTTCACTTGAGTCTAGTGGGGAAAGTCGTGTAAAGTGCCTTTCCCAAGGGCACAAGGTCGGTGGCATGTCAGGACTCGAACCCGGGACCTCTTGATTCCGAGTCGCGCACGCTGCCGTTGCGCCACACGACCCCACAATTAATAGCAATTCCTATAATACCAACCTGATGCAATTTCACACAGCGAAAAAGTGCATCTGTTACATTTCATACCCAAGTCAGTCATACACGTGTACATACAATGTATTTATAAGTCCATGTAGTTGAGATATACATAATCACAAACCTTTGTATACAGAGGTTTGCCCTGTTTGCTGCTACTCTGTACATGACAAGTTTGGTCCTGCGAACTTGCACGTACATTCTCCAGGCTTCCCATGCTGCCTCCAGATGCTTCTTGCTGTCTGCATTTAGATAATTACGGAATTAATGTCAATTCATTTGCACACAATTACATGTACACCTTAACCATTGCTGGGTGCAACATGATTAATAAAAATATGATCAGATAGACTGTCGTCATCCATGTGCAATACAGGGAGTAGGTCTGCTATGGTCTTAGCATGGTTGGCAGTGAAATTTGACTCAATTTAACGACAACTTTGATTTGATTTGTAAATTTCTCTAATGCATACAACATGTACATACATGTAAATTAATATCTCTTTGTATGTAATAAACATGAAAAAATTTATTTGGAGTTTACATAATTTATTAACAAATTGAATGTAGATTTTTATCTTTGATGTTACAAAAGAATGTACAACACCAATAGACGAAAAGAACAGAACAACTAAGTACAGGTCATGATTAACTTCCTTTCCCATGCATTTTACTTGCAGTCTTTGCTCATTTATTTCAAATGTGCAAAAGTGTTAATCACGTTCGGATCCCAATTTTAAAAGTCGTGTAATTTGCAGTTAAAACTCTGTAATCACAAGCCACATTTTATAAATGTCTAGTAGACATACCTTTTGAAGAAATGAATTCGAAAAAATATTACATTACAAGAATTGCACAGTTTTGCATACATGTAGGTTATAACTGAGAACATTCGTTTTGTATGGCATTTTGCATGGCGATTTACATGTGTGTAGATGGAAAGTTTAGTAATTCGAGACCTGTAATGTAAATGTACATACCATGCTCAACAGCCAAGGCCATTTTGGCTTTCCGGACTCTTCGTCTTTTTACATACTGTCTCCAAGCCTGCCATACAACACTAGCCACCCGGTATCTGCAAATACATGAGGAAGAAAAAGAAAAAAAATTATCAGTATTATTAGTCAAATGAGTTGTAAATAACCCGCAACTCATTTTGCTTAGTAATACAATGTACATTAAATTTTCCAACTGTCTTTAAGGCCACACCAATTTAATTTGTTGGTTCTCGGATTCCTCTCTTCATTATTTTCTGATTTTCAAAAAAAAAAAGGTTCTGGTTCTGGATCAATTAAAAATGCTCATATTTTTCCCCCAACAGTTGAGGAAAGTCATTTTCTTCCTAGTTGTTACAGATTTTACATCTATAATGCAGTCATAATGGTTAAAAGTTGTTTCTTTTTAAATACCAACCCCACCTTTTGTGTTGACATTATATGATTATTATGAAGCGCACGCACAAGCATAGCCACTTGACATACTTCACCTGTCAAGGCTGTCAACAACCAAACCAAAACTAAGGCCACACCAATTTAATTTGTTGGATCTCAGATTTTTTTCAGAAAAAATATGAAGTGACAGGGTGAAAAAAATTAAAAACAGGCATCCTATTATATAGCCCCAAATGCTACGATAGGAGCCATGAAGGCAACACAAAAGACTGGGTTAATATTTAAACAATGAATTTTGAACTTTTAATCAAACCACTGCATTGATAGATGGAAAAACTGTTACAGTACCAAAATATAAATAGGAAGAAAAGCACTTTTCTCAACTGTTGCACTTTTTTTAGTTGATTCATAACTAGAATCTTTTTTTGCAAATCAGAAAAAAAAATGAAGAGGCAAATCCGAGAACCAACAAATTAAATTGGTATGGCCTAACCAACCAAAATGTCTCCAAACATTTTCCAGACCTGTTGTGGTACTCAGCTCTGATGAGGAGTTTCCATTCCTTCCTGAGTTCCCACCACATGTCCTTCCACTCACTGAAGGCTTTCTTCTTCAGCCTCTTCTCATGTAACACTCTGGAAAAAATGAAAATGCAAAAATATGTATTGCTGAACTTCTTTTTTTTTTAAATCTTTCTTTATTTGAGTTTTATAAATGAAATAAATGAACAAAAAAGCATGGCAAATTTATTACTGACACATGTAGTACCACAAAACAAATAAAATAATAAACCTGGGAAACAGAAATATTAACCATTTAGCAACCCCAATGCCGAAAACATACATGTACCATGTATCCTTTAGAATAGATCACAAATTACCTATGTATCTATTAGTTACCTACTACATGTACCTATCTTTAACCAGAAAATACAGTATTAAAATTTTCCCGTTTCCCCGTGTTTATTACTTTATCTTGTCTGTATGCAATGTTCAATTCTAGTTTGTAAATACATGTATAAGAAACAAAGGATCTGAAAGATTTCAAGAAAATTTCTTATGTCTAAAAATAAGAATGTCTTGCTGAACTTCTTTGGAACCTAATTGTTGTTGTAAAGTTACTAATACATGCACATTTGCTGCCTCAGCTAAGAAAAATGGGAAAAAAGTCAAATTTCTAAGCACGGCTCTTTTAACTATGAACTTCAAGACTTTTATCCTCAGTACATGCCCACCAAAACTTAAATCATAGTCATCAGTACTTTGGAGGTGACACCCTTTTGAAAATCAATAATGTTAGGTCAGACAGAAGGAAAATCATCATTGGGTACATTGTAATTGTAAGTCAACTCCATGGTTATCCTTGTTCTTCTCAAAGTCAGTGACCTACTCCCTTCTTTCTAGTTAACTTAAAGATACAAATTAAAGGGATCCTCCTACATTTTGACAATCCTGTCTTTGTAGACTTCCTGGCACAAGAAACACAGGAATGACCTACACCATTCTAATGACAATTCTAGTGCCATGTTTTTCTCACATCTACGGTCTACCATTTACCTCTAGCTACTAATTTTCAAAAGGCTGTCACCTGCAAAATAATAACCACAGTGACTATGATTTGAGATTCGGAGGACATTTATAAAAGGCTTCATACTTCGTAATTTTGCCCCAAAATTGAAGCTTGTTCGTTGTTGTCATGTTTCTAGGTGAGTTCCCTTCGTCCATGGTTTATCAATGAGCTTTAGGATGAGGATTGCATTATTCATAGTGATGTATACCAGGTTTGCTGGCCCGGTTCCGGACTTGTAAAAATGTTTAGGTTCAAGTCCAAAAAAAACCTAAAAGTCAAGAACCAATTCCGAACTTATTAAAAAAAACTATGTCACATACACCTTTTCTTTCCAAACCACCTAAAACCTTCAGAAGATCGCAAAATCTGTGCTGCAAAATGAAGAAAACATTGCCATTGGGCATTGTCAAGTGTTGACCTCCATGTTATTGTTGCCACAGTTTTGCCCCAAACAACATTGCAAGGTTGCCAACATGCAATTTTGTATATGCCATGTGTTAAGGTCCAGACTTATGTATACGAGTCCAGAACTGAACCTAAACCTCTGGACTTGAATCTGGACTTGAACCTCAACGTGGGTTTAGGTACACAGCACTACGCTGCTATACTCATTTTAATTTTTGTGTTTCTTTCCTACTGAAAAAAAAAAATGAAAAAAAAAATTAGAGCCTTGCTGTTATTTCTGACAAAATAGTTGAAAAGTCAGTGTAAAAAACAAGTTCTTACCTTGCAACAGAAGGTTTCACCCGACCAAAGGTGTTTCTGATCCACATGTGCAGGTACTTCCTGGCAATGTGTCTGAAAAATAGGTGTGCATTTTTATTCAAAATCAAAATCAATGTGACCTAAAGAGAATGGGAAATACAAAATGTGGCTGAAGATGAAACCAAAAAAATTCACTGTGAATTTCAAGGATTTGCTATGCACAACTATGCACAATATCTTTGCACTGTACTTGTACAGTGTAAAGATTCTTTCTACCCCTTACCTTTTTACAAGGTACTTGTAAAGCCATAGAAATTACCATAATGATTTAATTTGTTGGTTCTTCCATTTTTTGAGATATTAAATACGAAGCGACTGGGTGATTAAAAAGAATAGAACAGAACAATCCTATGATAGTCCTAAAAGCTAGTGATGCATACCGGTTCACTGGACTTGGATCCGGACTTGTAAGAATGTTTAGGTTCAAGTCCAAAAAAAACCTAAAAGTCAAGAACCGAGTCCGGACTTATTACCATAAAAGACCATTTCACATACCCCTTTCCTTTCCAAACCACCTAAAATCTTCCGTAGATTGTAAAATCTTTGCTGCAAAACGAAGAAAACATTGCCATCGGGCATCGTCAAGTATCGGCCTCCATGTTATGTGGCAAAGTTTCACCCAGACAACATTGCAAGGTTGCCAACATGCAATTTCGTATATGCCATGGGTTTAGGTCCGGACTTAGAAGTCCGGACCTGAACCTAAACCTCTGGACTTGAATCCGGACCTGAACCTAAAATTGGGTTTAGGTATGCATCACTACTAAATTAGCTATGATAGGAACCACAAAGTCAGTCAACTATATACATATTTGTATTGGTTTATAATTGACCACAATGACATTTAAACTTTTAATCAACCACTATATTCAATTTGATACAGAGCACAGGTCTCTGTTAAGTGAGGTGACTACACGTTGGATTGATCTGTTACTGGTGGACAGTGAAGTATCATCAGCGAACAAGTTTGGAGAACACATTTTTGTCTGTATATCAACGACATAACATCTTGTTGTACACAGTGTGTACAACAAGATGTTATGTCGTTGATATACAGACAGGTACAGAGGAGCAGTAAGATCTGTAATTATATATAGGTTTTGTTTTATATGGTGCACCCAAAAATTGTTTGGTGCACCTTAGTTATTTACAGTAGGTTGGGTGCACCAGTGCACCTATTCCCAAATATGAATTTCAGCCCTGGTAGTTATATACCTTATCCGAATTTCCTTCAGACGGCCGCCCCTGTTCCATGTGTAGTGTACGTCTGGGGGACGTGATCTTATTGTCTTCCTTCCACGTTGTGCAGAACTAACGTCCCGAGTTCTTCCCATCTTTGTCGTTTTACTAGAATCTGTTTTCCTTGTCTGAGGCTTGGGGATTTTAGATGATGGTGCAGCACTGAAAACAATATTTACATTTCGATTAATATTGAATTTTCTAAAAGTTTATTCATGGGGTCGTGTGGCGCAACGGCAGCGTGCGCGACTCAGAATCAAGAGGTCCCAGGTTTGAGTCCAGACATGGCACCGATCTTGTGCCCTTGACTTTACTTGAAGTTTACACGAATTTCCCCACTCAAGACTCGAGTGAAATTAATTATATAAGTATTGTCTGTCCAGTATTCGTTTCTATGTGCGGGACACAACACCAGCAACAGCTGCCTCTGTTCCGCGTGTATTGCACTGTTGCAATTTCAATAAATCAAATCAAAATTAGACTGCCAATTAAATTAATCTGTGTGCTGCGGTCAGAAAATTAATATATAAACTCATAATCTCACCATGAATCATATAGATGATGGCGTTTCCAAAATCATATCCAGTTGCTTGAGTAACTGTTTTTTGGCATATCGTATTACCTGGATGTCTAACCTTCATCGACGCATGAATCATATAACTTGTATCATACATTTCTATATACACAAATCATAATTTGATTACCGGTATGTTTCATCTAGAAATATATAAGCACAATAATGAGCATAAAATGAGAATCAAATCCACTAAAACTTATTTCATGTTACCGTTGTCCTTTTTCCGGCTGTTGTTTTCCTTGAGGTGGAATATGTGGTCCATAAGGGTTGTGTTCCCTGGTATCTCCTTCTCCTCTCCCTGCTAGTCGTAACCTTTCTGCCTTTACTTCTAGTTGAGTCTGAAGTTCCTGTGAAAGGATAAAATAAAATAAAATACCACAAATCAGGGACCTGAAGCTCATGTGTTTCCTGTAAAAGGATAAAGGATAAAATAGAATAAAATACCACAAATCGGGGACCTTGCTCATGTGTTTTAGTATTGTAAGGAGGAGCGAATAGAAACAGAAAGAACCCCTGGTCCCGGGCCGGGATTCGAACCCACGACCAAACCCGGGCACCAGCTTTAGACTCCTACGCTCTAACCATTCCGCTAAAAGGATCTAGACCCATTGGCTGGGTCAGTTGGTAGTGTCTATAATCCTCCCACTGTTACAGTATTATATACTATTATTATTGGGGAAAACACACTATCATGTACTGGGCCATCATGCTATATTTGCGATCGCTGCATTTGCTAAACCTCAATTATTAATTAATGGGTATGATAATGCAAATTGCAATTGCAAATCACCCTCTTTTTACCTACCACTTGTATTACTGGCTGTTTTGTGTGCTGTTTTGTACTGGGAATCATTTAATAGATGTATAAAGCTTATCTTTTGCAGACTTCCCTTCCAACTTCAGGGCTTATAAAATCCTGCTTCTGCATAGGTAACATTGAAAACTGCCTGCACTAACCTGCATATATACCCTAGCCGTGGCGACTGAGTAAGCCTTTTGTATGATACAAAAGGCTTACCAAGTCGCCACCCTTACTAGTACATATACTGTAATTCGTTTCATGTTCACAGTCAGTACTTAGCAAAATTTCACAGTCTGAGAAAAATGGACATGTTCACGGAACTATATATTCACGGTGGCAATTGCAACAGGTGCAGGAAAGAGAAAGTCCAGGAATTATTTGTTAACTACATTGTCATAGAAATACGTTCACGATACAGAAGTGACATTGAAAACAGGGAACATGAAAATACATGTACCATGAAAAAATCAGGAATTACAGTACCCATTTTTTTTATACATGACCCATTGCAGGTTAGGTGCAGGTAGACATCAGAAATACCTGCACAGCTTCATTATTTTAAATTAAATGCACTAAACTGAGCCCTGAACTTATATACATATTAATACCAGTTATATCAGAGGTATATTTCAATGATTTTCTTTTATCTCTCACTCTCAGCTTGCAAAAAAATCAATCATGGCGTACTTGAAAAGGTCCAGATAGAGATGAAAGAATCCAAATATGAATGTTTGCCATCTGGTTTTGAGAGCTTTTATACTACGTACGCTTTTCTACTAAGCCAGATCATACTGCAAAATGTATAAGCCTTTGAAGCTTTCACAGCATGCAAGGAAACTATGGACAATGTAACTCTAGTCACTGTGAACTCTAGTTCATTCATAATTTTCATATGCAGGATGCCATTTTCGTATTTTTTGTTGTTTCTAAATGTTGTCTTTTCTTGCCAACAGTAGTAATAGGGTGCCAGAGTATACTTGCAATTTTACAGAATACAGTGCAATTTTACGGAATACAGTGCATTTGTATTATCATACAGTGCAATTTTACGGAATACAGTGCAATCGTATTAGTACATGTATACACTGCAATTTTACTAGTAGCTAAAATTGCAAATTGTACATGTATACTAGTAAAATTGCACTGTATATAATATACCCCGTAAATAATTTCATCAGGTTGGAAGATACTTAGGGTATAGAATTTTCTTCTTACACAACCAGTAAGGTTCTCACCTGCTTACGTTTCGATGTCTATCAGACACCTTCCTCAGAGCTTCTGACTGGAGTTCTGCAACTCCAGGGGGGATACAAGCTCAGCCACGTTTGGGATTGCATTCTCGCCGCAAAAGCGCCACCTACATTGGCGTTAAATAGCGGCGAGTTGCAGAACTCCAGTCAGAAGCTCTGAGGAAGGTGTCTGATAGACATCGAAACGTAAGCAGGTGAGAACCTTACTGGTTGTGTAAGAAGAAAATTCTATACCCCCTGTATATAATATATATATACTAATACAATTGCACTGTATTCCGTAAAATTCTGTAGCAGTATTGCCGGTATAACCGCCATTCGGCGTAACACACCAGCTTAAATTGCACTGTATACTGTACTATTGTACTGTATTGCGTAAAATTGCACTGTGTACTGTTAAAAATTGCACTGTACTTCGTAAATTTGCAAGTATTTCCGTAAAATTGCACTGTATACTCTGCCACCCCTGAGTAACACTGGTACATGTCACGGTATTTAACCAACTGGTGTTATTGTCCTTTCGTTTGTCCTTCACTTCCGAATAAAGTTTTTCAATCATAATTTTAGTAGTTAGTACTAGTATGTTTATAAATTTACCTGCACTAGTGCTTGCTTGGCTTTGGCGCGAATAGGTCGGTCATCTCTAGCCGCAAATCTATCGGCTTTCAAGCGAGCATCTGCCACTGAGATCGTCGGAAGTGATGTTGGAAGCCTCCTTCCATCCATACCTGGTCGTGTCAGGACCAAGACGTGTCGAATTCTCTTATTTTAGGAGAAAATTCAGGGTAGCTTTTGCGAAACTTGTCAAAACTGCCGCCATTTTGGAATTCTGCCGGAGCATGCGCATTGGGGACCGCCAAGCGCAATATCCCAGGATACACCGCGACAGACACCTGTTAACAAAAGTTTTGCAGAATTTGTCACAAGTTTTGATATTACAATTTGAAAGGAGGAACGAATTATGAACTCATGGCGCTATTAAGAAAGATCAGAGTGACTTATTTATGTGAATTATCTACATACTAGATTGAAAGGTTCCATCAATATCTAATCTTAGGAAACTGCGCCTCAAAAGCAGTCAAACCTGTCTAACGTTAGGCCACTGCATGTAAATGTTATGGATGACATCCTCCACAGACTCCAAATCTAATGCGAGCGGGCGAAAAAAACAAGGCGGGCCGAAAAAAAACAAGGTTCCTACATTTTCAAATTTTCAATCATTGTCCAAATGGTTTTGACTCAGGGGGAACATCACATATACACAGCCAGCATCACATATCACTGCATCAAAGTAAAAAAAAAAATCATTAAATCGGATATTATCATAAAAGTTCATCTATGTTTGTAGTAATCATAGAAAAACGTTGAACATTAAATCAGAGCCTTTTTTTGTCTCCTCTCTTCATGGTTATCTGCCATCCACGTTCCAGCATTGCAGAAGACATCTTTGCCCATTTTCGGCATGTTGACCACTGTCAAAATTTCCGTAGGAAAGTGCAAATACATGGCTGGAGTCCGTTTGGACCCCAAACGGTCTTACATCAGACTTCCGTTGTTATTTTTACAAATTTGTGCCGATCTCCAAAAAACTTTAGGAGAACTTGTAGAAGAGGTTTACTGACAAAGTCACGGGAGGAATTTTTTTTTAGAATAAAAAAATTCAAATAGCACGTAAAAAATATACGTCTGGGGTCCAAATGGACCCCGTTCGGGTGTTTGAGGGTTAACGTTCTAAGGTGTAGCTCTTTTTATCCACAAAACCGACGGTTTGTAACGTCCCTTCCGAAGGACTCCTATGCCTAACTCGTCTATTTTTGTGGATATCAGACAGCTAGCTAACGCGTTACATATAGGTTTGGATTTAAAACCACGACATCCTGATTCTAAACCCAACCAGCAACGAAATTTTATCATTACATTTTTTTCACTATGTCTATGTAAGGCCACACCGACTTCATTTTATGGATGAGATCCACTCGCCTGTTCTAAAAAAAACCTCGTCCCCCGAGGCTTTGGCCTGGCTCTAGGCCTGGGTAAGCTAAGGTCCCAATTACGCCGGTGCCCGTCGGGGATGTAGCCCCGGCTGGCCCCGGCCGGGTTCAGGAGTCGAGCGGGCATCGGCTGTCGTGGTCACAATTAAAAGTTTCCTTCAGTAGCATTTTGTTAGAAATTTTGTCACCCTCTTCGGTCGGTATCCGGCAGGCACCCGGCAGGTACCCAGCAGATTCTCTGACGATGTCTTGTATTGACCTATACGTAATGCAGAATTCACGTATTTGTTGTGATCATTTGATCTGTGAGGTCACACATTTTACCCGGGTTTACGAAGTACACACCTTTATTCTGTTCATCTGGTCTGTGACGTAAGAAATGTGTCCCGGTGGAATGCCGGCAACCGGAGGGGTACCTCTCGGTGTTCTCACGATGAGGTCACGGCGTCTTTTTGTCAGCGGGGCCCGGGTAGAATTTAACTCAGAATTAAATTCTTCTCGGGGCCCCGACGGGCCAAAAAATAGCCCGGTAGCCGCAGGGTGCCCCGCGGGGCCACGTCGGGGTCCCGCCCGAAAGTGGTAAAAAACAGCCCGGGAACTACCCGCCAGGGCCCCTTTTCCCAATTGGGACCTTAGCTGTATACGTAGTCTATGCTAGTTACCGACAATACGGAGCCAGTGGTAACTCTGGAGGATGACACCCAGGCTGTCGAAGCTCCACGACTCAAGAACTTAGTACATACGTACGTATACAGTGCAGGTTCATAAATTCGGCAAAAAGCCAGCATGTGCCGGCTTGTCGCTATGTACATGTACTGCCGCAAATTTACAATACCAGCTTTGTATTCCTAGTTTAGTAGCATTTTTTGGCCGGATTTTTTTTATTTGCCCGCGCTCACTAGTTTGGGGGTCATCAGAGGATGTCATCCATAAAATTAAGTCGGTGTGGCCTTATAAAATAGAAAAGCAAACTCTAAACTGCCTCATTTCTAAACTTTTTCTCAGGTAGTCGCATTGTACTACATTGTATTAGTAGACAACAAGGGAAAACTGTAGACATGCTCGCAATGTGAGCTCTTGCTATCAATATTAAGTTTCGGTAACTATTATCTTTTAAGTCAATAAGTTCGAGTCAAAGTTACAGGCTATAGAAATACTACCCATCCTTTCCACTTTAACTAACGCTAGGTGATTTTGACAACTATGTCTTAACCTTGATCTATATATATTTTACCTATGCAACTCATTACAGAACACCCACTGTTTCTCAACTTGTACCAAACTACATGCATCTCGTTACCAACCGTGCACCCCCACATCTCATTAACTTTACTTAGGCCACACAGGCTTAATTTTATGGTTGACACGCGCGCGCGCATTGATTTTGGCCTGTTCCTAGAAAAAAAAAACAAGAAATTCCGCTTCCTGTAATTATGACCAAAGAGTCACGACAGTGCCGCAAATATGTTTGTACGGACCAAAGCTTACGAAGCATCAAGCAAGGAAATCATGACTTCCTTTAGAAATTCAGTTTGGTACATGCTGCCACATTTGAAGAAACTTGCTGACCGCTCCATCTATCTCCCCAAAGCACAAGACGACAACTGATGTTCCACCTGATTTATTGCTGTTTTGATGATGAATAAAAGACTTCTTGCTTGTTACACTGTGTCACCTCATTCAATTTGTGTCGTAACATTTGTCGTCTCTTAGTATATTTCTAATCTAGGTATCTTGTTTTTTAGGGCCCTTTTTGTTTTTTTTTTCTCCCTCTCGCATTAGATTGGGGGTCTTCAGAGGATGCCATCCATAAAATTAAGTCGGTGTGGCCTTATAGGTTCGACCCAACTTGTCTTCAAGAATTGTCTACTTGAAAGTAAGTCAGAACCAATTATCGTCTTAATGTATTTTGTGCAGATTTAGGGTATTTTGGGGGAGTTTCTTAGAAGTACATGTACAGATACTTTCTCCTAAGACCTGTGTTTAAATATACCGCTATAAGGCATTCACGTTTAGGCGACAGCAATTAAAGTCTATGGATGACATCCTCCGCGGACTCTAAATCTAAAGCGATAGGGCGAAAAAGAAACAATGCGGACCAAAAAAAAAAACAAGATTCCTACAGTTTCTGAAGAAATGATACCTACATTTTGCTAAGTTACTGCCAACTATTACAACATCCATTTTTCACTGAAACAACTTTGAAAAAACTAAATGTTTTCAATCATAGTCCAAATGGTTTTGATACAGTGGGAACATCACATATACACAGCCAACATCACATATATAAGGAATAAAATACATCCCATAAAGTAAAAGACAAAGCATTCAATCAGAGCCTTTTCTTGTCTCCTCTCTTCATAGTTATCTGCCATCCACGTTCCAGCATGGCAACAGACATCTTTGCCCATTTTCGGCATGTTGACCACTGTCAGATAATTTTTTTTTCCAAAATCAGGCAAAAATCATCCATAAGGCCACACGAAATTGATTTCTTGGTTAACGGATTTTTCTAGAAAACCTGTGAAACTAGAGATGTACACAATTTACAATGTATTTCTGATGTCTACCTGCACCTACATGGTACATTTTTGTATTTAATGATCCATTTGCAGCAAGACTTATATCACATAAATGACTAAAAAACCTACTAAGGCCACACCAATTTAATTTCTTGGTTAACGGATTTTTCTCGAAAAATAATGGAGCGGGTGGGGGGGGGATAATAAAAACAGGCCTAGGCATCCTATTATGGCCCAAAATGGTACGATAGGAGCCATGAAGTCAACACACCAGACCGGTTCAAAATTTAAACAATGAATTTTGAACTTTTAATGATACCACTGCATTGAAAGATGGAATAAGTATAACAACTAGGAAGAAAAGGACTGTTTTCAACTGTTCAGGGCAAAATATGAGCATTTTACAGTTGATTCTGAATTTTTGTTTTCATTTTCACATGAGAAAAAAACGAAGCGGGTGAATCCGTTAAACAAGAAATTAAATTGGTGTGGCCTAAGAATTACTTGCTGTGGCTTTATCTGTCATATGCGTGTAAAACCTCAATTCTCAAACATGCGTAAGTAGCGTTGATATCTTCATCCACGTCGAGGCCACGTTGATAAAGATATTGATATCACAAAGAAAAACGTGTCTTGTTTGAAGAAACACCTCTGATTATTCATCATAAATCCTAAGGATAATCAAGGCAGTGGCATGTCATGTTAAGTGATCTCTTTATCATAATGATCAGGATGACTTAATACATGAGTATGTTTTTAAAAGATCATCACACGTGTAGGCAAAAGAAAACCACCAACGCTTGAGTGGGAGGCAAATCATTTATCTTCCTATCTCTCCAAAGTCGCTCGCCATATGTTGATGTCTGTTCTTTTCAACTTCAGACAAAGTCGGTGCGTCAGCTTTCTGCGTCATCGCGAGGAGGGGTAGAAGCCACACGAGCCGGCCTCCGCCAACCCCGCGAATTTTCACACCGGAAATCCGGTACAGGGTCCAGGCAAAAGGGACCTATTACAGAGTCGGTAATCTTTCTGAGATACGTGCAGGTCGCGGGAGTGCCACTCTAGATTTGCGGTCGGAGTGAGTTGTTTTAAAAAGCACCAGACGCTGTCGCTACCACCAAAGAACAGCAAGAGGAGAGGGAGAGAGAGAGAGAGTGCTAGAGAGAAAGAGAGGGCGACAAAAAACCAGACGTACGGCGCCAGAATGACGGTTTCTCAGTGTGCGTTATCTGTGACAGTGTTGGTCTTCGTGGCTCACGTTGCCATCTCCACAGCTTCTATCAGGACGTCACGAGCAGTAGTGTTAACAGGGGTAAGATTTCTCCTTTTATTAATCATTAGGCCACACCGACTTAATTTCATGGATGAAATCCTCTGAAAACCCCAAAAATATAGCTAGTGCGCGCGGTTGAATAAAAAAGAATCCGGCCAAAATTGAAATGCTACAAAACTGGTATTGTGAATTTGCGGCAGTACTTCGCGACGTATACCACAAGCCGGCACATGCTGGCTTTTTGCGGAATTTATGAATCGGCACCGTACGTATGCACTGAATTCTTGAGTCGTGGAGATTCGGTAGCCTGAGTGCCCGGCTCCGTATTGTCGCTAACTACCATGGAGTACCCAGGCCTAGAGTCAGGCCTAGAGCCTCGGAGGACGTGTCCTTTTTTTTTAGAACAGGCGAAAAATCAATGCGCGCGCGGATGTCACCCATAAAATCAAATCGGTGTGGCCTTATTTAGCCTCTGAAATATTGTACAAACAGTTCAGCGAGTGACTTCTACAAGAAAATCGCAAACGCCCAAGAGTTAGAGAGAAAAAAAACGGATCGAAGACTATATCTAAATCTTGGTTAGAGAGGTAACGAGACCCACAAGAAAATTGTTACTGTGGTATAAGGCAATGTCGTCCAATTTCCACCATCACTGCCGAGATAATTATTATCATTATTTAGCCTCTGAAATGTTGTACAGACCATTCAGCGAGTGACTTCTATAAAAAAAATCGCAAACGCCCTAGAGTTGATGAAAAAAGACGGACAGAAGGCTATCTGAATCGTGGTTAGACATTAGTCTCCAACAGACTCCTTTTGCAGGCTGAATATGTCGTAGAAATCGGTCTAAAAAGGGTATTAATTGGCCATCGAGGATCCAATCGGCCTCCCGTGCAGGGTATGTCCAGACTGTGCATGATGTACAAAATGACTAATAAACTGGTGGACGTACCAACCACTAAGTATCTGATACCAGCCCAGAAAAGAACAAGAAACAGTCATGCCTTCAAATATCAGAGTTATCAACCAAGAATTGTTCAAGAGGTGTTCAAAAACTCGTATTTCCCCAGAACTATTGTAGACTGGAACTCGTTGCCACCAAGCACAGTTGGGGCATCATCATTAGAAAGCTTTAAACAACTCCTGCAATCAAATGTGCAAAGATTGAGTGTAACAAGTCGTTCGGTGTGATATAGCTAGCTGCCGCCGCGCCGCGTGCCTGCGAAGCTGGTGTGTTACGCCGAAGGGAGGTTATACCGGCTATAAAGATACAGATACAGATTCTCTGGCCAATTAATACCCTTTTTAGACCGATTTCTACGATTTATTCAGCCCGTAAAAGGAGTCTGGTGGAGACTAGTTAGACATGCAGGTAACGAGACCCACAAGAAAATTGTTACCGTGGTATGAGGCAATGTCGTCCGATTTCCACCATCACTGCCGAGATGACAAAAACAGATTTTTTACGGGGAGGTTCGAAGATCCTGCATTGACTTTAGGACGGGATATCTTTTGTCTTTTATCAATTTAAGGCCACGCCCATTTAATTTTATGGATGACATCCTCTGAAGACCCACGAAGTATTGCGCGCGGGCGAATAAAAAAATTCCGACCAAAAACAAAAATGCCACTAAAGCATAGGAATACAAAGCTGGCATTGTGAATTTGCGACAGAACATAGCGACGTACAAGACAAGCCGGCACATGCTGGCTTTTTGTGAAATTTATGAATCGGCACTGTGCGTATGTACATATTTATTCACATTCTAGTATCTATTCACTGAAGCTAGTGCTTTTTACAAAATTTGTAGGTTCTTTGGTTTTTATTTTCTCTTTGTATAGCTTATATTTTTGTCTTTTGTTTTAAGCCTGCCTCCACAATCAATTGCAACGCCATCTGCAAAAGAACACAATAGAGCGATCATTCGTTCCCCCACTTGGCCACACCGTCTTCATTTTATGGATGACATCCACACGCGCATTGATTTTCGCCTGTTCTCAAAAAAAAAGAAGAAGATCACGTCCACCGAGGCTTTGGCCTGCCTCCATGCCTGGGTAGTCCATGGTAGTTAGCGACAATACGGAGCTACCGAAGCTCCACGACTCAAGAACTCAGTACATACGTACAGTGCCGATTCATACATTCCGCAAAAATCCAGCATGTGCCGGCTTGTCATATACGTCGCTATGTACTTACCGCAAATTCACAATACCAGCTTAGTATTCCTGTGGTTTAGGAGCATTTTTATTTTTGGCCGGAATTTTTTTTTTTAATTCGCTCGTTCGCACTAGTTTGGGGGTCTTCAGAGGTTGTCATCCATAAAATTAAGGCGATGTGGCCTTACATAGCTGTAGCTTCTCTCTGGTATGCCACTGAAACAAAGTAGCGAAATACTGACAGTGTAAAAGGCGGTATTGGACCCTCGATGGCCGGCTACCTTCTTTGGCCAATTTTGTAGGCCGATTTCTACGATTTATTCAGCCTGCAAAAGGAGTCTGGTGGAGACTATAGCTATAGGCTGGTGCGTGGCGGCGTATATAGCCTCCTGTGCAGGCCTCCGGGCGGGTGGGAGTTTTGATACTGCGTTTTGTAGAATTTTTGACGTGTTCTTTGCCGGCCATCCTACACCCAGCCTCCTAGAGAAGGTTTGTACCCGGCGGGTTAAAGAGTCCTGCTTGTGGAGCGAGTTCTAGAGGCACAGTGAGGGCATGTTTTTCTGTGGAGAGACTGCTGCGGGTTGTGCGTCTGATATGATTGTGTAAGGTTAGGGAAGCATCTTTTTCAGGTCTGGTAGGCATGATAGTGGACATGTGCATTTTGCAGATCAGAGAAACAGCGGCCACCTGAGGTCTGTGGATTAGTAATGGGTAGTGTTCGTGTGATAACATGACCGGCTGAGACTAGCGTCGTCTCCGGGTCTGGTGGGGGCAGGTTATCATGTCTCTCCCTGATTACCTCAGTACCAGCCACCTGGCGCCTGTTATGTAAGTTATTGGATATTCCAATCGAGCCTTTGTTCATTCACACCATTGATAGATCGTGTGTTTCCTGTGAATGAAGTGCCTGAGTCTGAGTGAGATGATGGCGGCACTCATTTGGCACAGTTCCGCATTGTACACACCTGGGCCTCCAGAATGGTTCTGTCATACATAAGGCAACACTGACTTATTTGTATGGATGGCATCCTCTGAAGACCCCTAAACTAGTGCGAGCGGGCGAATAAAAAATATTCCGGCCAAACATCGAAATGCTACTAAACCACAGGAATACAAAGCTGGTATTGTGAATTTGCGGCAGTACATAGCGACATATACGACAAGCCGGCACAAGCTTTTTGCGGAATTTATGAATCGACACTGTACACATGTACTGAGTTCTTGAGTCGTAGACCTTCGGTAGCCTGGGTGCCCGGCTCCGTATTGTCGCTAACTACATTTGTACCATAGACTACCCAGGCCTAGAGCCAGGCCAGAGGTGAAGCGACCCTTAATGTCGTCTGAAAATTTCTTTTACTTACTATTCGAAGTGTATTTGAGGTGTATTCCAAATATTCAGACCCAGTTTTCCATGCAATGTGATCAGAATGTTTCGAACGCTGTTGAATTGTTGTAGTAATTACCTTCGCCAAGAAGGTTATGTTTTCAGAGGGGTTCGTGTATGTGTGTCTACGTGGGTCCGTCCGTCCGTCTGTAGACACGATAACTCAAGAAGGCTTTAATGGATTGTTTTGATACTTGGTAGGTGGGTAGGGCTTGATGAGACCTGGAAATGATTAGATTTTGGACACCCTAGCAGCTTGCTATAGTACTGCAGCTGAACTTCCGGTTTTGATATCTCATGATCTAGACAGGCTAGGGTGACAAAATTTGGTTGGTATATAGCTCTAGTGCTGGAAAAGAAGTGGCATGAGTTTGGGCCCCCTAGTGGCTTACTCTGGAACTGCAGGGCTATCTGTTTGAAAATATTCAAAAGAGGATAACTCAAGAACCGGTAGACGGATCATCGTGTTTTTTATAAGTAGGTATCTTACGTAATGCTTGATATAATTATGTGATAATTATGCAAATGCGGATGTAATTTGCATAATTTATGGGGAAATTCTATAAATCAGCTGTATTCCATAATAGGACTATTGAAGCTTGTGACATTGGTAATTCAGAACGAGAGAAACACATGCAGATATTGATTATGTAAATGATTTCATTCATTCATTCATTCATTCATTAATTCATTCATTAATTCATTCACTCACTCACTCACTCATTCAATATTCATTCATTCATTCATTCATTCATTCATTCATTCATTCATTCATTCATTCATTCATTCATTCATTCATTCATTCATTCAATCATTCATTCATTCATTCATTCATTCATTCATTCATTCATTTATATTTATTCACGGGACCATGTTGGTTGTTCCAGGTATGTAGCATGGACAGCGACTGTGCGCTCGCCCGCGGGGAGGGCTGGTGCTGCGCGCCGTGGAACCCATGGACTGTCTACGAGGTCTCCGTCTGCAAACCGCCGGGGTCCGCCGGGGCACCCTGCCTCCTCTCCCGCACAGACACCCGCTCGCCGCGGTCCCAGCAGGCTCTGGAGCGGCAATTCTGGAGATGTCCCTGCAAACACGGGCTGGTGTGCGTGCCCGAAGGCACCGGCTTGGTCGGGACCTGCCAACAGCCACCCACGGACTACATCGTCTGACTAGCCCTGCTCAGCGCGGAAACGACGCCCGCTTCCCAACTTGGAGAGAGAGACGGGAACGAACGTCGCTTTATCTCCGAAACCAAAGCCTCGCTGTTTTTTGATAGTGTAGTGAGGAATTTAAGGTTAAGATTATTAGAGGCGTATCGCGGATAGAAAAGTAATACTGATTTTTGAGATTGTTTGCTCAGATAACTCAGGATAGTACATGTAACGTTACCTGTCACGTGTACAGTTTGTACCTGTCACGTGCACAGTTTGTACCTGTGACGTGTGCAGTTTGTACCTGTCACGTGTACAGTTTGTACCTGTCACGTGTACAGTTTGTACCTGTCGCGTGTACAGTTTGTACCTGTCGCGTGTACAGTTTGTACCTGTCACGTGTACAGTTTGTACCTGTCGCGTGTACAGTCTGTACCTGTCACGTGTAGAGTAACATGGCCAATCGTTAATCGAGTCATGGAACACTAGAGACAACAACGATATCAGTGACAGACAGTGATCAGAATACAGAAAGAAATACAGATCATTGTATGTCGTGTCTAGACTCATACATGGAATATCTAAACATTACTGTGAAAACCTGTATCGTTGGAGTGCTCTGAAAGATACATTTCAGAGTCCATATCGGTAGAATAGAGGACAACTCTTCTGTTCTGATATCATAGGAGAAGCATTGACTATGAACCTACATTGTATAACCAGCCACAAGAAAGGTTAAGTGATTAATAAAGACGTGAAATGACAACAAATACACTTTCATAGGATGGCCCTATATTTTTCCTTTTCCGAAAATTGATACATCTATACTTTAGAGCACTAGAATATAAATTGAATCTTCTATATGAACATTTGTGGAACAATTAAAGACCTTTAAATAGTTTTCATATGAAACATTGGAGCACTACATATAATCCACACATAGTATCGGATGCTGTGAAAGTCTCAGTCACACATCTCTAATACGGCCTCCTCCCAAACACTAGCCGAACTCCCCTCAACCATGGTTGGTAGGTCGGGAGCAAGGTCGGTTAGTGTCCGGCCAGGTCGGCTGCTGTTGGATTAGGCCAGACCAAGGACATTATACAAACTATGTGTGTATAATGTCCTTGGCCAGACGAATGTTTCAAAATGTTCAAAACATTTGTATGTGGGCGGGAGATGGTTGGCTGGTGGTTGGGAATATGTCCCCTCCGGTCTGGGCATGCTTGGCACTGAAATCTGACTCAATTTAACTCAAATCTGATTTGATTTGTATTACTTTTGGACCAGTCGAATGTTTGGGGCATGGGTGGCAGTAACATTTGACTCAAATTCGATTCAAGTTCAAACAGAAAGGTAGGCGTGGAATAAAGTTGGTAATAAAGGTGGGGTCGCGTGGCGTAGCGGCAGAGTGCGCGACTCGGAACCTAGAGGTCAAGGGTTCGAGTCCTGACATGTCACTGATCTTGTGCCCTTGGAAAAGGCACTTAACACGACTTTCCTCACTTCGCTCGGGTGAAAATGAGTATCTGTCATGTATTTGTCCCCTGTGTTGGTGGCGGCATTAATATAAGTTGATAAAACTTGAGTGTGCCGTCACCACGTCTGGTGATTACATGTTGGATTAAAGAAGTTGGTAAGGCTGCTCCCAAACTTCAGCCAACCCTGGTGCGTTGGTGTTCGGGGAAAAGTTTCTAAATGTGTGACAGGGGTCCAGATGGCATCAATATGACAGTAATGATTTCTCAGGTGCGGCCCTAATGTTCATCCATCCACCCACAGTCACTATCCTGCTATTATCAATAACCGTGTAGTAGCAGTATGGCTCTATTCAATTATGGAAGTTAGAATGATAAGCCCAACGCTGCAACTAAGCATTAAGCAACCTGTCCAATGTGCCAACCTGGCCAACGCGACCGCGGCCGACACGAGTTGGGTCCGCTCAAGGCCTGATACCTGCCCATGGTGACCACATCATTTTCGATGTTGATTATTGATGACAACTAAATGATAAATCATGGAGAAACCAGCCAGTTTGCCTTGACTGCTGGATGATGTTTTTGTTCGACCCCACATGCATTCACCACAGAACTAAAGATGCTCACAGCATTTGACTGATTTGGAAACCATTTATGTCTCAGTCATGTTGTGAGGCGACCCTCTTCAAGGAGACCACCTGTCCAGGGTGACCACTTTTCGTTGATCCCCTGGGTGGCCGGCTTCTACAGGTTTGACTGCACTTTCTTCTCGTCGTCTAACAAGAGGTGACGAAATTCTGACGAAACTGCACGTAACAGCTCATAAACTTTTTATCCATTTATTTATTTATGACGATTTACCACATCTGTGGAAGGATTGACATAACAGGTGACTATCACCTTTTCAAAGATGTCAAACCTGAGACCAGACTGTAATGTTTGAACCACTCACACCGGGAATGTCCCCTACTCTTTTCGATAAGTGTGGTGGGTTCTTTAACGTGCGTGGAGTGTGGCTCTCCCAAACACGGGACCTCCATTTAACGTCCTATCCAGAGGGACGTCCCTAGCCGAAGCTAGGTACTTATTTTCACCTGAGTGAAGTGAGGAAAGTCGAGTAAAGTACCTTTCCCAAGGGTACAACGTCGCGGCGCATGTTCGGACTTGTTCGGGTACGACCCGGAATCGAACCCGGGTCTCCCCGTTTCATAGTCCAGTGATGTACCACTACACCACACGACGCCACTATTACATAATATCTCTACTACGTTAGAAAGAACTCATAATACAACACAATCAAGTGCAATAAATGAATGAATCTTTATTTTCGTGTCTTGCGACATTGTCGCCAGCCCATATGGGCTTATAATATGCCGAGATATAAAAATAAACACATTAAGTGATTGGATCCATTACAATTTGGATCAAAGTCTTTCTAGCATGAGTACAATCCAAGTCACCAGGGTGACCAATTATTTGAGTCACCTTGGTGAAGATTTATGGAACAATTAAAGACCTTTTAAATAGTTTTCATATGAAACATTGGAGCGCTACATATAATCCACATCGTCATCACTCGCCTCCAATTCGAATAGCTATTAGTGGAAAGATCCTTCGTTATGGTTCATGTGATTTGCAGTTGCCAGACTGCCTTAGGTTTGCTTATTTGACCTAATTATCTCCCATTAGTCAGGCATGATTCAGTTCAAATATAGTTACAACTTGACATGTGTATTTATAAATCCTCCTTATTGCCAGTCATATCAGCAATCATGAATATTAACTACTTTAGTCTGAGAGTATCAATCCAATCAGTCAAGCAGTGTTCATGTTGGTTGTTGCATTCCAAAACATTTTCCATTCCAAAACATGTTTTAGAATACTACGAAGTGGAAAGCATAATGTATGCTAAAACGTGCTCCATTTCAAAATATCTTTTGTTGTTACATCCGTAAATAATTTCATCAGGTTGGTAAACGAATGAATAGCAAGTTCTTTGATCATTTATCATTTATTTTTACGAGCCGACGTTTCGATGACCGTCTGTCATCTTCATCAGGGCAATTCTGACTGGTTTACTGTGCACTGTGAACCAAGTAACAGTGCACTGTGAACTATGTAACACCCTTAGTGCACTATGTACCAAGTAACATCTAGCGTCAGTGCACAGTAAACTAGTCAGAATTGCCCTGATGAAGATGACAGACGGTCATCGAAACGTCGACTCGTAAAAATAAATGGTTGTGATCAAAGAGGTTTGCTATTTATCTTTTGTTGTGTTCTAACATGTGAGCCATTCCAAAACATGCGTTTCGTAATAATGTGTTTTGGTTGTAACGTAAACCCTAATCTTAACGCGTACGTACACAGACAGACTGACAGACAGACAGACAGATAGACAGACAGACAGGGCTTAGTTGACATGCTTGACCCTCTGATGACCAGGGCACTGTACATAGATTGGCCACGTTAGGCCACAGCAAGTAATTTTTATGGATGACATCAATGCGCTCATTAATTATCGCCTGATTTTGGAAAAAAACAAGAAGTTTTGTTGCCTTCTGACATGCTGAAAATGGGCAAAGATGTCTGTTGCCATGCCTGAACGTAAATGGCAGATAACTATGAAGAGAGGAGACTAGACAAGGCTCTGATTTGATGTTTTGTTTCTTACTTTGATGCAGTGATATGTGATGCTGGCTGTGTATATACATGTGATGTTTCTACTGAATCAAACCATTTGTACACTGATTGAGTCAAATTTTAAATTGTAGGAATCTTGTTTTTTCGGCCCGCCTTGTTTTTTTTTTGCCCGCTGGCATTAGATTTGGAATCTGCGGAGGATGTCATCCATAAATTTTACTTGCTGTGGCCTTATTTATATTCCAAACCGTGGTCCAGCTGTTCCAAGATTTGGAATGACAACGATGCGGAATGCCTGTTGTATTCCAACACGTGGTCCATTCCCAAACATGTTTTGGAATAACGCTTTTCGGAATGCCAACAACTGTTGTGTTTACTTTACCTTTTACCTATTTAACATTCAAATAAACGACGATAAGGTGATGTTGAAATAACCCCGGACTTTGTAACAACACACATGCATACCCAGCCGTACGTCTATCGCTCGACAAGAAAATGGCGGTCTTGCTAATTTTCCTCGTCCTCTCCACACCAGCGGTGCTAGCGCAGTTCTCCATCCAGGGATGCCCCATGTGGGGGTGCAGCTCCCAGGGTACCTTCTCTATATTAATGGACAGTCCCCCGATGGAGGACGTGTCCGTGTTATGGCAGAGGGAGTCTACCGGGGAGGGGAGGGAGCTCCCCCCGCCACAAGGCTGTGCCTCGGACGGTGACAACGCCGTGTGCCTCGTACCCGGTACTACCTCAAAGTAAGTATTCCACGGGGGTTACGGACGTCCTACCAAAAGTTTAATTTGGGGTCGTGTGGCGTAACGGTGTCAAGCCAAATACATGATCCTGCCAAATACATGACTCTGACACTACTTGGGGGTTTCCAATATACCTGAGACAAGGGGTGGGAGGGGTTTAATCGTGATGTGGGAGACTAAACCTTAGACCTAACCTCAATCGTAAGTCTAACCATAGCCCTGAACAATGATCCCAACTCTAAACCTAACCCTAACCCTAACACACTTACATTAATTATAAATAACACCTGACCTCTCACGTATGTGGCAGCTCAAGGATTTGGCTCAACAACGGCAGGGTGTTTAGCCAAGAACCGTCAAGCACCGTCAGATAGCACACTCGTTCTAATTACCTTCGTCAGAAGGTTATGTGTTTAGGTACACCATGTATAGGGGTTGCTGATTTTTTTTACAACCGGTTATAACTTGGGGTGTGGTGCATGTATCTTTATGATATTTGGTAGGTAGGATGAGTTTGGGAAAAAGAAGGCCAAGGTCAATTTTGGGTACTCTGTGACGGTCCCGTTTAACATCACTAGATTAAAAGTTATGCCGTGACCGTTGTCATATTTTGTGATGACAATGTTTACGTCTTCTATTACGTCTAAAACAACAAGTTGAGTCAACAAAGTGTTTCAGGTAAACAAAGACGTCAGTGAAGCCAAGGGGGGCGTGTCATCCATAAAAAAACTATAGCCTTCAACCAGAGGTTGGTGTAGAAAAAATCTGAAAGCTTCACCCCACCAACCCTCTAACCAAACCTTCATAAAAGACGGTACTGTTAAAAGGAATCCAATGCAATTTTAGGGCGACAAAAACTACATTCTTAAAGTCAATTGTCTGGCCATTCTTTTTTATGTAAGTTGAAACATCCCTATCCCAAGACATGCCGATATCATACTGTGAGACAAATATGCGACGTTGCTGACTGAAAACACTTGCTTGTTTTGTATCGTAGGCTGGTTCTATTTATTTATCGGGGTGGTACGTTATCTGTGGGCATGACCAACTAGAGTAAAATCACTTGCAAACACGTCGCTTGTAAGACCGAACCTAGAATATGCCGCGACAGTATGGGATCCATATAGAAAGAAATACAAAGATAACTGGGAAGGAGTGCGGAATCAAGCTGGTGTGTTACGCCTCACGTAGCTTCGTTTGGGCTATTTCAAACGCTTCAAAAGTATCAAGTGTGATAAGAAATGGCAGTATATTTCAAAATAAGACAGATTTCCTAATCAAATGTATTGTTGTTTTGCCTTTGAACCTTGATCACAACCCGCCGAACGCAAGAACGTGGGCAAACGTAGGGCATCCGTGCGTGGTGAGTACCACCTCCGTACGGAATCCTACGGATTTGGGAGCACGCAGACACGCCGTAGAACTTTAAGTGTATGTAAAACTTTTTCTACGTGCGGTCTGCGGATTCACCACCCGTACGTGCGAGTACGGGCGACGCGCGTGCCCCACCCGTGCCCCGTAGGTACCGTAGGTAAGAAGCACGTGTGAGTAATGTTGCAATCGCACATACCACTTGCGCAACGAACGATGCGCGCAACCGCTCACGACCAGACACCAGACGTGGCGTGCACACCACACTCTTACACCTTGCGAAACCGTGCGAGTGACGTGCGTTGACCCCACTCCTTTCCCACGTTTTCAGAAAAACGTAGCAGACGTGGCCTCCAAAAAAGAAAAAAAAAACGTACGGACAAAAAGCACGTACGGCGGGTTGTGACCGAGGCTTTACTGAAATTAAATTGGCTGCCAGAAAGCATTACATCTGCTTGGAGAGAATAAACCAGATCTGACGTTCAAAGCCCAATTATCTTGGATATTGAATCACCCCTAAACTTTCTGATGACTCAGCCATCCTGGGCCTGGTTAGAAGTTTTTATTCTAGAGCGAACTCGCTCCTACGCAGGTTCCGCTACAGCTAGTTCAGTTGAGGTAAAACGGGTGCTGTTTAATAGCTAACTGTACTCCCATGTACTGCTCATAGATTTTTGGTCGAACTATAGTGTGGGTGTTATCTCTAGATATATAATAATAATAATAATAAATGGTTTATTGGCCAAAGATCACCCGTGCAATCGCAGCCTTATAGTGCTGAATTGATGCAGGTTTTACGATTAGATGATACAAATGGTAATAATACACATAATAATACACATAATACACGTGATACATATTTGTTCCACATTTTTGTGGAACTGCCGCAAGGGTCTGTGCGGCTGCCATTCGGCGCCACAAGGTGACCTCAATACGACTTTCCCCAACCGAAGTTAGGTACCCATTCACACCTGGGTGGAGTGAGGAAAGTCGTGTAAAGTGCCTTTCCCAAGGACACAACGTCGGGCGTATGTGCAGACATGTCCCCATGTCCCGGGTACGACTCGGGATCGAACCCAGGTCTCCCGATTCACAGTCGAATGATCTACCTCTACGCCACCCGACGCCATATTATGCCTTCAAGTGCCAGTCTGAGAGTTATCAACCAAGGATTGAGGTGTTCAAAAATTAATTCTTTCCTAGAACTATCGCAGAGTGGAACTCTCTGTCACCAAGGACATTATACAGAAGGCCTTTCTGTATAATAGGAGCATTATCATTAGATAACTTTAAACAATGTTTAGAGTTAGATGTTGAAGGGTTAGGTGTAACACGTCCTTCGGTGTAATGTAGCCAGCTGCCGCCGCACCGCGTGCCTGCGAAACTGGTGTGTTTCACCGAAGGGCGGTTATACCGGCTCTACCGATACAGATACAGTGGGGTCGTGTGGCGTAGCGGCAGCGTTCTCGACTCGGAACGTGTTACCTCAGAGGTCAGAGGTCAACTGGATGGCTGCCTTCTCCATATTCTCTGTTCTAACCCATAAAAATCTTCCTTAAAAACTAACTATCCAGGTACGTTCTACCTGTAGGGTAATTTATAACCGTTTGCAGAACATTCATAGGTAGAAATTTTTTTAAAAAATTCATTTAAATTTGTGTCTATAGTAAGACTTTTCAACTTTCTTCCCCCTTTTGTAAATAAGGGGGAGGGCGCCATTCCTCTGAACTCTGATGCTACTCTTAATGCAACTTACGAAACTGCTTGAGAGGTACTGACCGACATGTCATTCCATTCTGCCATAATGATTGTGTTTTTCACCTGTTTTCTATCATAGATCATCTACGTAGGTGGTTCCCAGCTTACTTTTGTTACTTGTATTGCATGTTTGTAAAGCTGGATACGTGTTCGGACAGTGCGCCTCAGCTCTTGTTCTTTTGATTATGTAATTCAATTTTAATAATATTGTAGTTCAACAGTCCATGTAAATTATTGTGGTGATTCGATACTGTTTTAATATACTTCTTGTACTTATATACTACCCACTGCAACAAAGTTCACAAAATGCTACTGACCAAAATAACGTTAGCTGACTGTATGTTAGCCTTGACCACAGTTTGTTGCCTCATATACTGCACCACAGCATATTCTCAGTCCAAAGTACTTGTGTACAACGACTTCTCAGTGGCACCACCCTTAATGAAAGTATCCTGGTCTGCAGGGCTTACAGTTGAACATAATTCAGCTGGTTTGTATGGCCTAACTCGATTAATACCTCGATCCTTGAACAAAACACGTAATTCAACGACTGACATTAGTCAACGTAGGGCACTCCATTTCTTTAGTATCTGTATTCTGCTCCTTGCTGGCGATATTTGCCCAAATCCAGGCCCCTCTCATCAACTGACTGTGGCAACGTCCAACGTGAGAAGCCTTAAACCCAACACTGATCACGGGTCGGCAAAACTGACTGAACTTGAACTCTGCCTACACAACGAGAACATTTCCATCTTTGGTCTCACCGAAACGTGGTTTAAGGATTCTGTGCTTGACTCTGATATCAGCATACCGGGTTATTCCACACTGCATAGGAAAGATCGCCAAGGCCAAGTCGGCGGTGGGGTGGCCTTACTCGCCAGCGATTCACTTTCGTGTAACCGACGACTCGACCTAGAAACAAACAGCAACCTATGGCAGGACATTTGGGTCGAGACTAGGGTTGGAGGAAAGAAGATTCTCGTCGCATGTGTATATAGACCACCGAACACTCCTGACACCTTTTACCAAGAACTCGAATACAGTGTTTCTAAAGCAATTGCAGAAAACGGAGTCCGACTAATTGTAATAACTGGTGATTTCAATTGTCACAACTCAACTTGGGGAGGTGCACATACTGACAATAACGGTCTACTACTAGCAGACATTCTTGACAGAAATGGTCTGTACCAGTCCCAGCATCAGGGGACTAGGGTAACCCTAACCAGTACCAGTGTTCTAGACTTAATGATATTGTCTGAACCTGCTAGAATAAATCGCATGTATACCTTAGCGCCACTGGGTTCATCTGACCACTCTGTAGTTGTATGCAATTTAAACTTGCTCTTACCAAGCACATCTGTTAAGCGCCGCATATGGTTGTACAATAGGGCTAACTTTGACTTGTTTAGACATGAATTAAGTAAGGCAAACTGGCAGAGTTGTATGGTAGGGTCAGTAGATAACAGGTGGAACAGCTGGAAGAGTAAATTCCTCAACATTGCTAAACAATCCATCCCTAACAAAATGGTCAAAGCTTGTTCTAGAAGTCACAAACCCTGGATCACTCCCGACCTACTTGAGATGATACAACACAAAACAGATCTTTATCATGCCCACAAATCTTCACCAACTCCGGAAAATTGGCTAAGCTACACTTTCTATAAAAACAGACTTACCTCAGAGATTCGTAAAGCTGAACGTAACTTCTACGATTCCCTTAGCAACAAGCTAAATAGTCCTGAAGCCTCCAAACTATTCTGGTCAGTTTTGAGTAACATCACTGGCAAGGGGAGTAGAGGCATCCCAACACTCTCAAACAACGGCACTCTGCTGGAAAATGATAAGGACAAAGCAGAACTTCTAAATGAAATATTTGTGAACATTACTAGAGACTGTAACCATCCTGACAGAACAAGAAAACTCCCCATATTCACCTCTAAGCAATTTACATCACTTCAACTCACCTCTGAAGAAGTACTTACCGTACTGCAAAGTCTTTGTGTAAACAAAGCATCTGGACCTGACGGTATATCAAACAGGCTTCTGAGGGAGGCTGCTCCTGAAATATGCGACTCGTTACAGCATCTATTCAACTATTCCCTGTCTACTGGAGTATTCCCTAAGGAATGGAAGCAGAGTAACGTTAGCCCGGTGTTCAAAAAGGGTGATCGCACTGATCCTCTTAACTACAGGCCCATATCTCTCCTACCAACGGTAGCCAAGGTACTTGAAAGACTCGTCCACAGTCATCTGTACAGCTATCTTGAAGAAAACAGCCTACTACACAACAACCAGTCGGGCTTCAGGAAGGGTGACGGGTCGGTCCTCCAACTAATCCGTCTGATCAACGACTGGGCCAAGTCCATAGACGATCCGGACACCATCCTGGGACCCCTTCTATTTCTTGTGTATCTCAATGATTTGATGGACCTGCCGTGTAAATCTGGACTCAACTGCTTTGCAGACTACACGTCTCTCTACAATCCAGCCAGAACAGTGCAGGCAGTAGCTAACACCACCAACACAGACTTGCAACTGGTGTCCACCTGGTTCATGGATTGGGGACTGCAACTCCATCCCGATAAGTGCAAGGTATTGTGTGTCAAGTCTGACCGCAAGAACGTCCAACTTCCTCCAATCTACCTGCTTGGGAAAATTGTGGAGCAAGTACCATTCTACAGCCACCTGGGGGTAAGTATCCACCAGGCCCTCAGGTGGACGGACCATGTCCAAATGACCACAACCAAATGCAGGAAACTGCTCGGTGTCTTGTCCAAGGCCAAGGGCAAATTGGGCAGGAAAGCTCTTGAGACAGCATACTTTACACTTGTTCGTCCCAAATTGGAGTATGCCTCGGTGCTCCTGGGTGACTTAAACAGCACAGCTAGCAGGATGTTGGAACAGGTCCAGTACTACGCCGGTCGTCTTGTCACTGGAGCCATGAAGGGTACTCCCAGCTCTCAACTTCTACAAGAACTTGAATGGGACACCCTTTCCACCAGGCGAAAGTACAACTCACTGGTAGTCATGTACAGACTTACAAACGGACTTGTTCCTCCTCACCTACAGTCACTCGTTCCATCCACAAGAGGTGCCCAGTCAACTTCAAGGCTCCAACTCCGTAACAGTACTCACCTTCACCTACCGCGATGCAGGACACAGACTTACAAAACCAGTTTCATTCCGTTCACCTGTTTGCAATGGAACCAGCTGCCCCAGACAGTTAAGGATGTCAGTAGTCTCGCTGCATTCAAACGGGTGTGTAAAAAGCACCTCTTCACACCAAGGCACTATCAGTTGCACCGTAGTCTCGGCTCTAGGCAGTTTAACATCTATACTGCAAGGTTGAGCATGGGCTGGAGCCAATTGAACTGCACCCTGCACAAAATGAGCCTTAAAGACAAGACGTGTGCCTGTGGGGCCTCCTCTGAAACAGTACCACACTACTTGTTACATTGCCCTCTCCACACTGAGCCACGCAACACCCTTGCCTCCACTGTTGAACACCTTATTCAACATCACCTAACCACATCTGTTCTGCTCCAAGGTTCTCCAGGTCATAACTTAGATACAACTAGAGAGGCCGACATTTGCTTGGGAGCAAATACAGCATATTTCAGTCCATCTCCCTCCCACGCAAAAGTGGACTATTCCAAACTTACCCCAGTGTAAAACTGGCAAAGATTCTCAAATAAATGAATTATATTGTAGCTATGTAATTGAGAACAAAGATGCAAGAACAAGTACATTGAATCTCGAAAGCTTTACTAATCTTCTTACAGGTATGCAAATACTAACAATGATGAGATTTGATACATTTTGAAGGTCTTAGGCACATAAAATTGAATGTGTGGGTCATTACGCACGACTTACGTGCAAAATGTGACCTCATGTAACCCGCATAGAACACGTGTTCCATGGCCAACGGCAGATGGAACGTGCCATTCTTTAGATAGAACATGGAACGGGTATAGCACTTTTGGTCCTTTTTTTGCTGAAAATAGCCATTAAAGTCCCCCAAATGAGTCATTTGGAAGTGGTGTATGGCAAATATGTGACTGTTGTTCTGTAGACACATGTTCAAGGTACCCTTATACCGAATTTCAGATCATTTGGTTGTAAAACCAGGGCCCCTGATCCAAAAATCCATTTTTTGGCGAAAAATTACCCAAAAAACCTTCATAAAAATTTTTCAAAGGCATGTATAAAAAAAATGAAAAAAACGCCTGGGGGTATTAGCCCACTCTGCCTCCATGCCAAATTTCAAGTCATTTGGCTGAATGATGGCTGAGTTGAATCCCTTTGACTGTGTGGCAGGAGGAGGAGGAGGAGGAGAAGAAGAAACATCAGAGAACACAATATATTTCATCCATACCATGGTATGGACTGAAATATAAGTACAAAACTCACAGATGCACTTCACACATTCATTGCCCAATCAAAAAGATTCTGTGCCTCTTCCAGCTGAGCCTAACTTAACATTCATTTTGCTGTATAGTTATATAATAATTGATTTTAATTATAGGTGTAACTTTATATGAAAATTGTATACTTGTGTATAATCTTGCTTTAACTATTTATTGTTGTTGTTTTTTTACGTCATATGTACAGGTATGTGTTGGGTGTGCACGCTATCAGCATACTTGCTGCCTAGTGCACACTTTGTATTGTCATGTCGCAATTTTTGAATAAATAAATAAAAAAACAGAGGCCCCGGGTTCGAGTCCTGACATGCCACCGATCTTGTGCCCTTGGGAAAGGCACTTTACACGACTTTTTCTCACTTCACTCAGGTGTAAATGAGTATTGTACTGTCCCTGTGTTGGTGGCGGCATTAAAGTTGAAAAAAGTTGAGTGTGCCGTCACCACGTCTTGTGATTGCATGTTTCGGAATATATATATATGCACAGTGTATACATATATATATATATATATATATATATATATATATATATATATA